AAAACAGACCGTGTCCCAGATTGCACTCTTTTGAGTCATTAACACATATCTGCGTTGTGCCTTGATGCCTTTCATTTTATTATGGTTAGTACTCAAACAAGCATTAATATTAGCCTTCCCTCACTCAAAGAACACACAAAAACATTTTCCCAGACAACGCTCGAGGGATCTTTGATGTGTATCCCAGACGTTCATGCCTGTGAGACCGTTCAAAACGGCGAGGCCAAATCTCTCCATTCATGCACAGAAGGAACTGGCTCCACACAGAGTCGCTGTTCTGACCGAGGAAGGGACAAAGCAATCCCCTGAGACTTCTGCCAACTGGTACAGGTGACACTGAATGAACAATACGTACTGACATTTGTGTCTTCCACAATTCATGATAAATAAGCAAACGGGTTATTTGTAATCAGCCAAACTTGCTGCTTTGAAAAGGCCGCTGCTGGACGTTGCAGGGCTCGTGTTCCTTCCCAGTGTCAGAAAGGAAAAAAACCAAGTTACATTTATAGCCTGTGTCATCGTTTCAAGCTCCTTCTAGCAGTTACATCTCTTCCCACAATGGCAGCGGCTGAAGTGGTACTTCTGCCCAGCTTCTGTTAAACTATCCCACTTTGCTTCGGGGTAATTTTACAGAGGAATCCGGTTTTCACCGTCTGTGCCACTGAGGAGATCGCCCCATTGAAGTGAAAGCTAGGCCGTGCGAAACAGACCCTGAATTATATCGATTACATTGACAGGTGCTGTTTTAAGACCAGACCGATACTTTTATGCTCACAGTGTCTACGTTACAGAAACAGGGGCTGGGGGAGAGTGATGTCTGGGGACGGAAACTGTAGGCTTTGTGCCGCCTGAACCCCCACAAGCTGCACCAAAGATCAGTCGTGGCGCTGCTAGGATCTCAGACTTTCTGCAGCCCCAAGATGAAGAAAAATGGAAAAGCTGAGCAACATCAAATTATTTTAAGCCGGGTCACTTGCAAATAATAGTAAATGTAAATCAAAGAAATACTTCTACTTAATATTTGATTCTCAGAGGTAAAAAAAACTCAAAAGGGTATAAGGAGAAGGAGAAAGGGAAGGAAGGGACACACTCAACTCACCTGGCCCAGCGTGTCATTAAACAAAAAAGGACAGTCTGAGAAAACACACGGGACCATCATCACCTGTAGCTGTCAGTGAACGATTCGGAAGGAAGGAGCTTATACCAACCCGCCTCCAAGGATGCCGCAACTGTGTTTACGGCCGACCTCGGGGGTCCCGGATTATTTGCACACTGCACGTCCACGCACAGGCACGCGTGTGCTCTCCCCGCAGGCAGAGTACAGACGGGGAGAGCGCGACATTTGAGTTGTATGACATTTCTGTCTTTAATCGCTACATTTATGAGAGTAATGGCATTTGTTATTCAGGCGGGCTCGAGATTTGCTCAGCCACGTCTCTTCATCGATGCAAATCCTAACAAATCACTGTCAACGCTGGCAACTGCTTTGTTGGGGTGGGAACAGGAACCTCCTGGTAGACTCTACCTAACTGTCCTTCCACGACAGCGCCAGGTTCTTTCTGAAAAGCTGATCGGCGATAGGACTGAACCCACGCCCAGCAACAAAATAAATAAAGATACTTCACATCTGAGCTGAAAATACTGGAAAAGGTTTTTAGTTTGTGGTGAAGACCCTGGCACAACGTGGTGACAGCTCAGCTTCTGCGGCCCCGGGACCCAGCACCTGCTGCCTGGTTCGTGTCCCCCGGGCTCAAGCTCTGTCCCTACCCCCTTCTCTCTTGGACAGTCATTTCTCAGAGCCCCGGATTTGGTTCCCCCTGTTGTCAAGGTATTCAAATGACCAACACTTTAACAGTGGCCATTAATGTCTAAAATTCCACTGGCAACCAGTGCCCCCGCCAAAACCTGGGTTTTGGGAACCAAAAATATTTATATTTGAGGCTGTAGGTTTCATATTTTTAGTAAGCTTGAACTTCAACCAAAAAAGTGTTCCTGAAGTAAGGACTCAACCAAACGAGTATTTATGCTGAAAATGGGTTCTCTCCTATAATGCAAAGGAACAGCGTTTTTTCCAACAAAAATGAGATTACTGTCTAATAAGTCAATCGTGGGACTGTAAACACACATTTGCTGTCCAGTCAGTAAGCTGCTCACCTCCGGGTACAGCTTCTGCCCTGCATGGCGGATGCACCTTCAGGAACGGCAACTGGCATTTGCTGATAAGCATCATTAAGAAGCTAAATGTAGGGTGTCCCCCAGAAATTAGAATTATATGCAAAACATACTCCATTCTGTTAGTTTGGTAAGGATTAACTCCACTTTGAGTAGCTTTATTCTATTTATTTTGAGTTACCTAAGAGGTTTTTTATTTGTTTTTGTAAAAATGAATAGGAAAATAGAATTGTTAAAACAAATTCTATTTCCAGGGGTGCCTGGGTGGCTCTGTTGGTTGGGTGCTCGACTTCAGCTCAGATTATGATCTCACAGTTGGTGGGTTTGAGCCTTGCCTAGGGCTCTGTGCGAACAGCTCGGAACCTGGGGCCTGCTTCGGGTCCTCTGTCCCACTCTCTCTCTCTGCCCTTCCCCTGCTCACCTGCTCTCTCTCTCAAAAATAAACAGACATTAAAAAAAATATCTATTTCCAGACATTTCTATTGCATTTAAGTACTATAAGGCAGTAATTCTACACTGCCAAAATTTCAAACAGGACAAAATATTAACTACTGATAGTGAATCTTTATTAGGGGGAAGAGACAACTGCTCAGTTCCAGGCTGTGCTGTCGGTGGCTTTTACTAAGTTACCCATCAGATAACACAGCACATTCTAGAGCTGCGCTGTCCAACATGGTAGCCACAGCTAGGTGTGACCACTGTAATTTAAATTAATTAAATTTTAAAATTCCAAGCCTTGGTCACACTTGCCACATTTTCACATATTTGATAGCCACGTACGACCAGTGACCAGCAACCTAAACAGCACAGATCCCGAGCACTTCCCTCACCCCCGTCATCGAACTGCGGCTCCAGACAGAGCACAGAACCTGGCAACTGGCTCAGCCCAGCACCTGGAAGAGTGCATAGCACACGTTTAAAACACCCTTATTTAAGTTATAAATACAAATAAAAGCCTCATAAATCAGATTTAAACAACAGTCTATATCATACACAATTCCAGCAGCTGGTTATTAAAGTATTTTAGGGGCACCTGGGTGGCCCAGTCAGTTAAGCATCCAACTCTTGATTTCGGCTCAGGTCATGATCTCACAGCCCATGGGATCAAGCCGTGAACAGTCATGCTATTAGTGTGGAGCCTGCTTGGAATTCTCTCTTTCCCTCTCTCTCTCTCTGCCCCTCACCCACTTCTCTCTCTCTCTCTCAAAGCAAACATTTAAAAATATATATATGTGTATATATATATGTATATATATATACACATATATATATATTTTTAAGTATTTTAAAAGTGCAGCTTAAATGGAAGCACACAAATAAACAGAAATGGGACATAATGGTTAGAAAATGTGAAAGTCCCCCAAAGAAAAAATGGCTACAGATTGATTTCTTTAAAAGTACCAAAAGGGGGGCACCTGGGTGGCTCAGTCGGTTGAACATCTGACTTCGGCTCAGGTCATGATCTTGTGGCTTGTGAGTTTAAGCCCCACGTCGGGCTCTGTGCTGACAGCTCGGAGCCTGGAGCCTGGAGCCTGCTTCGGATTCTGTGTCTCCCTCTCTCTCTGCCCCTCCCCGCTCATGCTCTCTCTCTCAAAAATAAACAAAAATTAAGAAAAAATAAAAAAATAAAAACCAAAAGGACATCAACTGGGTTTTTCAAAAACTGTGCTTTAAAAGTACAACTTGATGAAATGAAAAACTCAGCTGGGTGGTCAACATTAGAACCCTGCTGCCTGTGTACTGTCAGTAAGGGGCCGGGGTCCGCTGTGTGCTCCATCACAAAGAGGCCTCAGATCTCCTTGGGTGAACACACACAACTTGAACATATCATCTGGCTTCCAACTTTCAGATCCTCAGCACTGCACAGCTTGAAAACGCTGAGGAAAAACTATCCAACAAAAAGGCTCGGTCACGTTATGACACAGAGTACCGATTTTAACTATAATATTTCTGAACGTTACAACCAAATTATTGTAGGCATGGACATAATCTGCTTATCAGATTGAATTGAGACTAGTCTCTTAAAACAATGAGAAAATTATTCCCCGTTTTATGATGATCAAAATAGGCCCTTTCAAAGAAAATTTAAATGGATATCAAAATTCTACCACAGAAATATAGCAAATGAACATCTGTGTGTATGGTCAGTAAAATGGTAAATTCAGAGTATAAATATTAAAAAAAAAAAAAAAAAAAAAAAAAAAAAAAAAAAAAAAAAAAAAAAAAAAAGCCAGACATTTGGCGTCTCCTATAATCGGTTAAGACGATTCAAAAAATAAAGCACTTTAATTGAAAGCTAGATTCAATTTAGTAATACAAAAATTTAGAAAGATTATGAGTCTAACCAATTCAAAGTTTCAAAAAAATCCCGATGGAGGTAGTTAATAAATAGAGCTCCACTGAGATCACACTTTGTCCACTGGAACTCCCTTGTACCCGTAAAACCTTTTGGATATGTAATTTAAAACAATACCTTTCCACATTAGAATTTTACAACCCAGGTCTCAGCTAAAAATTTCAATGTGTGGAAAATCCAAGCATCATAACCACTACTAAAGATTTAACCAACATCATATTTCTTCTGGATATGAAGCTGAGAATATTTGTACTAGCATACTAATGAATTATAAGCAAAAACAGGAATTCAGAACATAACAGGATATAAGCAAAAAACCCAGTTGTGCAGCCGAATTAAAATAAAAGCAGTATGTAAAAAATAGTTTTAATAATACCATTCAAGTATTTAAAATCTCTTTCCAGGTCATTCAAGAGAGAGGATGAAAACTGTTCACAGGGCCCTCCCGACCCCACACAGCCTACAAACTCACCATCTTTAAAATCGCCCCGTACAGCCGCAGGAGCACTTTCCGAGGCTCGTCACCAATGGTGGCCACGGTGTCAGGTAAGGAGCACTGGAACAGCATGTTACTGAGGCCACCTCTGTTGGAAGTAAGAGGACAGTAAGCATCGGTATTTTCAAGGTCAGCTAAACCTTCTTGGGCAACTATGGATGAGAAATCGGGGTCCCACGGGAACGGTTCTCATCGAAGTCTCCACCAACTCTTAGGATACACGCGATATCAATGACAGGATCCATGGTTTTTAGACCAATTCAGTCATATTAAAAACAGACAAATTCCCAACTTATTCTTCTTAGATTAGCGCTGGGGGGGGGGG